TGGCGGATTGCCCGGCTGCGACCTTACCTAGACACGGGGGCGCTCACTACTTTAGTACATGCACTCGTAATTTCTAGATTAGACTACTGTAACGTGCTCTGTGTGGGGCTTCCTTTGAAGCTGATGCAGAAACTTCAAGTGGTGCAGAATGCGGTGGCCAGACTCCTTGCTGGAGTGAGAAAATACCAACATATCTCTCCTACTCTGGCCATGCTGCACTGGCTGCCCATCCGTTTCCGCATTGACTTCAAAGTGTTAATGCTTACATATAGAGCCCTAAACGGTTTAGGACCTCAATACTTAGCGGAACGCTTACTCCCAACTAGTTCTACCCGTGTCACCCGCGTGAGCCAGGAGGTGAGGCTGAGGAGCCTGACGCCGAGGGAGGCACAGAAGGAAAGAACTAGAAACCAGGCCTTCTCGGCAGTGGCTCCTCGCCTCTGGAACAACCTACCTCTGGAGATTCGCGCGGCTCCCTCACTGTTGTGGCCCCTCGCCTCTGGAATAACCTACCTCCGGAGATTCGCGCTGCACCCTCGCTGGGTATTTTTAAGAACCAACTAAAAACATGGATGTATAGGCAGTCCTTCCCTTCCAGTTAATTCCTGTCCTCTTTCCTTTTTTATTCTTTTTCTCTTTATTTGATTTATTTTGTATTTTTCCCATCTTGCAGAATCATTTAATTAATTAGTTGTTATAAATTTTTCTTGAACTTGTTATCCTTTATGTTGTAAGCCGCCTAGAGTGGTCAAAATGACTAGATAGGCGGGGTATAAATACAATAAATAAATAGATAGATAGATAAATACATAAATAAATACATAAATAAATAAATATTGGGGCTTTCTTTGTAGCAAATACAACGCTTATAGGCATGTATTTATGTGCTCTGCAATCCTCTGCATGTCTGTTCTGTAGTAAATCCCTTTAAGTTAAATTAGAATTATTCCATGTAAATACTTAGAGGATTGCAGCCTAAACACACCCTTTTTGTCTTTCCCTCCTTTTTTCTGTCTGTTCCTTCGGTGTATCTGCCATTCATCTGGCATTCTACCAGGATAATAAGATTAAGGCCAAATTACATGGTCAATTACATTTGAATACAGAATTCTTCTCAATTACTCTAATAATTATACTAAATAATTAAGGATGCATGCGGAATCCAATTTCAGTCTGAGTTTCAACTGAATTTGTCTTGGTCCATATTTCCTGGACTGTCCATAGGAGGAACGCATTTTGCCCTTTGGAATCTTTACCCTGAAGGACAGCTTCGGACATGACCACAGAAACAAGCATGTGCATTTGAAAAAGTGCACAGAAAAAAATGTGTGCATTTCAAATTTGAACAAGACAATGCTAAAATGTATTAAGAATCTGTTCCAGCTATTTTTGCATTTAAAAAAGATGCACAAAATATGCAGATTAAAAAAAACATCTAGAACAATAAGCTATTCTTTTCCCATGAAAATAATTTTTTAAATATTCTATATGATTTTGGGAAAGGCTCAGCAGTAAAGCTAACAGATGGGTTAGATTTTCTACATTTCTTTAAGATCTGTGAATACTTTGGTACTTGAGTATAGTAAGTAAAGTAAGTCAGTCTGTCCTTATTACCCAGCAAAACTGACAAAGAACATTGAATTTCTCACTTGTTCACACACTATTGTCTATATTACATTCTACTGGCTGAAAATCTATTTGAAGTATACTAATGTCTTTATATTCACTCAGTTATTTTGGATTTTACAGTTGTCTGCCAAAGTGCTATAAAAGACATGTATGTCAAGTTTAATAGTTTTTCCCCAGGACAAATCAATAGTGCCACGTGGATGAACGTCAGCATTTATTGCAAATTTAGAAAGAATAAGAGGTGATTTTTTTAAAAAAAGCTTTGTTGTGCATGTGTACATTCATTACAAATAAAGCAGGCCATCAAAAGACAAAATGAAATGTTCTGATTTTGTCCTTTTAAAGTACTTTTCAAGTTTGTCTTTTGAGTGGTTCTTGAAGGGCTGTCATGGAAACAAATTTAATCTTGTTACAGAAATATCTGGAGTACCTTGTTACTCTTATGTGTCCCTGCTAAAAAATTTTTTTTTAAATGAACTAAACTATATGAATTTTATATAAGGAAGCTCATTCCTTGCTGTCCATATTTTGTTTTGGGTTAAGGCCATGGCAAGTGTTACTGTGGAAACTGTTACTGTGAAGCTGGTTGGCATGGCGATAAATGTGAACTCCAGTGTGACATCACGCCATGGGAGATCAAGAAAAGGTGCACCTCCCCAGATGGCAAAATCTGCAGCAACAGAGGTGTGTTGGCCCCATATTTTTATATACCCTAGCTCATATATACATACCCTGGCTCATATATATATGACCCAGGGTATATTTTTCCACATGGAATGGTGGAAACATGTTTTATTTATAAACAGAGAAGAATAGTATTCTTGAAGGCTTTCACGGCCGGGATCTGATTATTGTTGTGGGTTTTCGGGTTCTTTGGCCATGTTCTGAAGGTTATTCTTCCTGACGTTTCACCAGTCTCTGTGGTCGGCATCTTCAGAAGACTGGAGTAAGACAGAAAAGAGGCATAATCAAAACACTGGTAGATCGGGCAAATCGTAACTGTGAAGCTCAGTTTCTCAGCATTCAACTCAACCATCTGAATTGGGCCCTACGAGCAAATGGCTACTCCAAAAATGAAATCACAAGACCCCCTCACCACTGCAGGAGTATACCGGATACCTTGCAGTTGTGGCCAGGTATATATTGGCACCACAAAACGCAGCATTCACACCAGAATCAAAGAACACGTGAGACACTGCAGACTAAAACAACCGGAAAAATCAGCAGTAGCTGAGCATGCCCTAAAACAAGCTGGACATGAAATTCTATTTCAAAATACTGAAGTACTAGACAACACCAGCAATCTGTATGTTAGACTGCATAGGGAAGCCATGGAAATCCATAAATATAAACAAAACAGGAAAGAAGAATGCCTGAAACTAAACCCGACCTGGTGGCCCATTCTGAAAAATACAGCCTGCAAAAGGTCAACGAACTCTACCCAGCCACAAGGGCCAGGGATCATTGCACAAAAAAGACCAGCTAACGACACCCTTCAGTCACAGTGACAGATAATCTCACCCCCTTACCCCAACAAAAAACATGCTGATCACCCTGTCTCCTGAAAAAAGACAAAAGCTGTTCCCACAGCTATAAATACTCAACTATCCAACAAACAGCAACAGAGCATGGACAGAGTTTCCTACTCCAGTCCTCTGAAGATGCCTGCCACAAAGACTGGAGAAATGTCAGGAAGAACAACCTTCAGAACATGGCCAAAGAACCTGAAAAACCCACAACAACCAAGAGAAGAATAGTATTTGTTGAAATCATGAGCTTATTTCATGTAATTAGTGTTTCCAAGATGATTTCACCTATGAAAACAATAAAATACATAAAATAGAACCAAAAAGCATCTAACATATGAATATTATACATTTATTGACTGAAATCCTATTGTGCAATTATGCAAATAGCATAACTTCTAGAAGCAAATTGCTGTAACTTAAGAAATCTCTATAGAATTTATCTGTTGCATACTGAATCATCTGGCTCTGTGTGCAAGAGTCAATGCCAGTGTGGATTTCATAACTGGCAGCAATTCATATTTAAAAGTTGCATCATAACAAATGTTATCTATAGTTTTTCTGTGCTATGCATGAAGGGGTAGTTCCGAGTCAATGCCAGTGTGGATTTCATAACTGCCAGCAATTCATATTTAAAGTTACATCATAACAAAAGTTATCTATAGTTTTTCTGTGCTATGATGAAGTGGAATTTTCTCCACAAAAGTTTAAAATTTGTTCGTTTTTTTAGTGGTTCAATAAAGGTATGATCCTATTCTTCAGTTTATATCATTTACATAACTCTGCAACAAGAGTTATGTAAACGACAACAAGATTCAGCCAAGGTGTATCTCTCTGCAACAAGATTTCTGCAAATCTTGCAATAAGATTTCAGCCAAGGTGTATCTCTATGTACATATACACAAAAAGGTCACATATGCATTACATTTATGTCATGTATCCCCTATAATCACATATTATATCACATATTACATTTCCATTATAATAACTTCAGCTCACCCACAGTTAATATTACATAGTCCAGATAATTGAAAAATTACATTTTTGTACTATCATCCCTCAATGAGTGTGGTCCTAGCTATGCTGACTTGAAGATTTTGAGACTTGTAGTCTAAAAAGTAACTTTTCTAAGCTTAGCATCTTAGCCAGCTCCCCTTTGTCAGACTGCTAGCTCAGATAGCCTCCTGTCTGAGAGGGGGGGAAAAGTTTCTTTGAATTCCCTGTGTATGCACGTAGTTCTCTGCCGGAAATATTGGCTTAAGAGTCATCGCAAGTCCCAGCTAAAGTAGACTTGCCTAATCACTTGCTGAATGGTGAGGCATCATTTATGCAAGTCTCATTGGTCAAAACCCTGTAGCAAGTCACAACTAGGTTGGCACTGCAATTGTTTATGATAATGTCCTAGGAATTCCCTATACACTTTATGTTATTTGAATGACAAGAGACCATTCCCCTTATTTTGAAGATTGTTTCAAATTGCGGGAAAGAAATGACTTAACTTGCTTTTATATTTTTGATAGGGAAAAAAATCCTTAGCAGAAAATAGAAAAAATGAACTGCAGTGACTTTAGAATGGCTTTATGCTGAGCAAAACCATCAGAATGGTTTTCCTCTTAACAGCTGTGTATTCTTCAATACCTAGCAATCCATAGAAGTCAAAATAAATTCATAGCAAATTAAGGATGGAAAAGAAAAATGAGTTATTTTTACAAGATAGGTTTTTTTTTTAAAAAAAATACAACAATACACTCCACTACTTTATATAGGGAGAAATGTCAAAATAATAACATTCAGCTCTCTGTTTCTTAATAAAAACTTGGAATATCGTTTTTGAAAAGTAATGTTTTCAAAAAGTAACCCGATAACCATAATCCAAATGTCAATTTATGCTTGCATAAACGAAATGACTTAAATTGTGATAGCAAATTGTCACTAATTAATTAACTGCTAGTTGATTTCTGGGGATACATCCCATCATATGCTTGTATTTCACTAATTAGTAGCAATTTGTTGCCATGACTTACATCATTCACTTCTGTCTGTATGTTAAGTCCTGTCAAGTCACATCCAGTTTATAGACTGTGGTAGGATTCTCAAGGTATGTGAGATATTTCAGTAGTAGCTTTACCATTTCTATGTCCAGTGAATTTTCATAGCTCAGTGTGGATTTGAACCCAGCTGATCTGAGTTCTATCCACTGTACCCCATTTCCTCCCATGCCACTCACTTACTCAATAAATTGGCATTTGGATTCTGGCCATTACTTGCTGATTTGTTGCTCAGTTGTTATTGTCATTTCTCCAAAACATAATAGAAAAATAAAGTGGCCTCAGAACCGCCCCCCCCCAGATTACCTCCACATTGTTACAGAAGTTTTTTTAAAATCAAATATAATTACTGTACATTGCTTTGCGAAAATTATACCATTAGATCTTTATTTTCCCAAAAAAGTAGCATGTATCTTACTTGTGACATACAATTTCTAGTTCTGATCTTAATAGTGTGTTTTCAAAGCTATTGATCTGTTGTTAATATCAACATCAACTCTTCCTTCCTATACAGGAACCTGTGTGTGCGGTGAATGTACATGTCATGATGTTGACCCAACAGGAGATTGGGGAGATATTCATGGAGACACCTGTGAGTGTGATGAAAGAAACTGCAAAGCACTCTATGACAGATACTCAGATGATTTCTGTTCAGGTAAATGAAATATTTAATGGAAAGGATTTAATATGACTGAATAACCCAAGAATGGCTGGATCTTTTCTGTTCTCCAGGCAATGATTTTTTTGGTGGCTGGACGTACATTTTGCCACATGAATTGGTTTCCTTATGAGCAACCAGATTTTCTTATAATTTTGCACCATCTAGCAATTGTGGCTCCTAAATTATAAAGTACATACTTTCAGACACAGCTGGGCCATTGCATACAAGACCCCCAAACAGCAGAGTCTATTATTTCTCTTTTGGCTTGGGTCATTAACCCCGTCTCAGCTTTCCCTTATGACTTGAGACTGTGAGCAGAGTTTTGACACAGCTTAATTTAAATTGGTAGGGCCAGCTGGGGCCATGAAAAAAATTGTTTTGGGTATAGTACTGGCCTGATTAGCCATTCCTTCTTCATATTAGCAGCACACACACCATGATATCACATTCATATTAGCTCTATTATTGGTGCCTGGCAAGACACTGATATATTGTGCATTAGAGTATTCAACATTCTGTAAGGCAGATCAAAAAACAGGAGTGCCTCAAGCAAAAATTTGTACCTATGAAACCAGACCTCAGATCAGCACCAAATTCAGCACAGATATAGCAGAAAGTCTGCTCTTGCTCTGTGCTAAATTTGGGGATGCTTAGACAAAGGGTTTTTATGCTGCAATTTAAAAAACAACAACACTGTTTTACTTCTCTGCAGGAATGTAATTTCTGAGAATAGCATTCTGGCCAATCAGAATGTGTCTCTAGTCAGCCCACAGAGCAGGTGTCTGTCACTTTCAACCCTGCCATGTGGACTGTCTCAGGGTTCCATGTTACCCCATATTATTTTACATACACATGAAAAACCTGAAACCGGCTGTCCAGAATTTTGTGGTCTAGTATCACCAGTGTGCTGATGACACTCAACTCCATCTGCTTTTTAAAATCTTACGGGAGGCCCTTCTCTCAGTCCATACTATGTGGCCACACATTGAGCGCTTTCCCTTCCCCCCATTTTACTGTAGAATCAACAAGTGATGAAATATATCATCTAAATGTCATTTTGCCTTCAGGCCTCATTTAATCCAGACTTAGCCTTTTTTAGACATTGGAAAAGACTAGCCTGTCACTTTGTATTTCTGACTCATGACAGTGCATGTGTTGCGTTTAAATGGCAAATGGTTCTCCCAAGGTTTCTGGGAGAGGTGAAAATTTGAGATGTTCTACTGTAGCCCACCAAACATCCAGGGGTGGGGAGTTCTTACAGTCCCTCAGAGGTTGCCTGTTATAAAACACATTCAAAGAATCGGAATTTTGCCTCTCTTGAGAATATTCATATGCAGATAACTAGTCATCTTTCTTTGGCTTATCCATCTATATGAACATATAACTTGAAACATCTTTAGAAGTGTCACAAATGTATGAGATTCTATTTAGTGATCTGACAACTGTGGTAGTGGGTATGTACTATTCGTTAAAAGTGACCATTTGCTGTCTTGCAAGTAAGTTGATATTTACAAAACTTCCCACATAAGGGACTCTTTCTGACATGCCTAGAAAGTGGATAACATTGCCTTGTAGGTGGAAGAACAACATTTTTCCAACCTTCTGCACTAACCTTGTCAAAAGGAGTGATGATTGTTCAGTCTTCTGAATTGAGAACTCATTGGTTCCAGGGCAAAGAAAAAGTTTAACTTCTTGATTTGATGTTCATTACTGTTGTTTGTAACACTGAATGAAATAGAAACTGATGAAACAGAAAACATATAATGACTGTAAGGTTATTATTACAAGTAGAATTTCAGTTATCTAAGAGAGTAAGGTAGACTCGAGGGTGGAATTGGAAGGAGGTAATGGGAGTCTGTGTGACCACATGGTGGGACCTGAGAGAATGAAAGAAGGGCCTCCTGGAAGATCTTAAAAAGCAGATACAGCTAGGTGTCATCTGCACACTGGTTGCACCAGACCACAACATTCTAGAGTAGACAGCCTCTTTCAGGTTTTTCATGTATATGTGAATTTGCATGAGGAATCATGGAACTTTGAGACACTCCACAGACTAATGGTCAAGGTGTTGGACAGGAGTCCCCTCCCCCATACCACTATCATTCACAAAGTGACACCACGCAAGGGAAAATCCCAGAAACTGACTCCTTTTTCCATCAGTTCACTACTTCTTGCTCAAACACAAAGCAATTGTCAGGGCTGTTTTACAATGAGCAGAAAAAGGTATCCTATATAGACCAATGGGTCCCAACCATTTTGACACCAGGGACCAGTTTAGTTGAAGACCATTCCCCCAAGGACTGGGAGGTGATGGTGGCAGGTATCCATGCATGTGGGGGGGCATGTGTCCATGTGTCTGTGTGTGCACGGGGTGGCTGGATGTTGGTCTGCATGCAGGGGGCAGGCGTGTGAGCTGGCATCTGGGGGGCAGGGAGACATGTGGGAGGCATGTGTGTATCTGTGCATGCATGCGGGGTGTGTGTGTGTGTGTGCATGCATGTGTGTGTGTGCGGGGATGCATGTGGACAGGAGTGTGTGCGCACACATATATGTGCATATGCTTGCATTCCTTCGGCCCTTCAAAATCTGTCTCCGCTGCCTGGGCCTTCCAGGGCCATGGACTGGTAATGATTCACAGCCCGGGGGTTGAGGACTCCTGCTATAGGCCATCTTGACTGATGCCATTGGTGTTGTCAACATTCAGGCTACCCTTTGCTATGTAAAGCTTGCATCCTTTTTCCTACTAGCAATGCAGGCATGATATTGTGCAGCAGTATTGGGCCCTTTCCTCGCTTTTTGAATCATCAATATAGGAGCACTATATCCCACATTGATAAACCAGAGGGTTTTTAAAGAATTGAATTCAGGTATTAATCTTGAGGACTTGGAGACATAAGCCCTGCCTCCCCCTCTGTGTATTCACCATGGGAATAAACTCTGCAAGCATGTTCAGCAGAATGTGCTTCTTGTACTTTTATGACTGGGGGCCTTGCTTTATCAGAGCTTTCAATAATGGAACGTTGGAAGCGTGGTCAGCTAAATGTGCTTACAGGTGCCTCTGCAGGCCTCTGTGGTGAACAGAGAGAATGAAAGAAGGGCCTCCTGGAAGATCTTAAAAAGCAGATACAGCTAGGTGTCATCTGCACACTGGTTGCACCAGACCACAACATTCTAGAGTAGACAGCCTCTTTCAGGTTTTTCATGTATATGTGAATTTGCATGAGGAATCATGGAACTTTGAGACACTCCACAGACTAATGGTCAAGGTGTTGGACAGGAGTCCCCTCCTCCATACCACTATCATTCACAAAGTGACACCACGCAAGGGAAAATCCCAGAAACTGACTCCTTTTTCCATCAGTTCACTACTTCTTGCTCAAACACAAAGCAATTGTCAGGGCTGTTTTACAATGAGCAGAAAAAGGTATCCTATATAGACCAATGGGTCCCAACCATTTTGACACCAGGGACCAGTTTAGTTGAAGACCATTCCCCCAAGGACTGGGAGGTGATGGTGGCAGGTATCCATGCATGTGGGGGGGGCATGTGTTCATGTGTCTGTGTGTGCACGGGGTGGCTGGATGTTGGTCTGCATGCAGGGGGCAGGCGTGTGAGCTGGCATCTGGGGGGCAGGGAGACATGTGGGAGGCATGTGTGTATCTGTGCATGCATGCGGGGTGTGTGTGTGTGTGTGCATGCATGTGTGTGTGTGCGGGGATGCATGTGGACAGGAGTGTGTGCGCACACATATATGTGCATATGCTTGCATTCCTTCGGCCCTTCAAAATCTGTCTCCGCTGCCTGGGCCTTCCAGGGCCATGGACTGGTAATGATTCACAGCCCGGGGGTTGAGGACTCCTGCTATAGGCCATCTTGACTGATGCCATTGGTGTTGTCAACATTCAGGCTACCCTTTGCTATGTAAAGCTTGCATCCTTTTTCCTACTAGCAATGCAGGCATGATATTGTGCAGCAGTATTGGGCCCTTTCCTCGCTTTTTGAATCATCAATATAGGAGCACTATATCCCACATTGATAAACCAGAGGGTTTTTAAAGAATTGAATTCAGGTATTAATCTTGAGGACTTGGAGACATAAGCCCTGCCTCCCCCTCTGTGTATTCACCATGGGAATAAACTCTGCAAGCATGTTCAGCAGAATGTGCTTCTTGTACTTTTATGACTGGGGGCCTTGCTTTATCAGAGCTTTCAATAATGGAACGTTGGAAGCGTGGTCAGCTAAATGTGCTTACAGGTGCCTCTGCAGGCCTCTGTGGTGAACACACAATGATCTGCCTTACTTCAAAGTGGGCAGGGGGGATGGCACCACCATACATTTAGTCCTTTGCCTTTCAGGCTTAAAAAGGCTATCATGACAGATGAACACAGCACGTGGGGAATTGGGTGAGGTGACCATTATGTCCCGGAAGGGACAGTTCCTGTCAGGTGCAAGTACCTGTGATATATATATTTTTAAGTCTGCAAGAAAAAAAGTCTAAATTATATCTAAATTAACCAATGGGGAATCATAATAAGCCATTTTGTAGTAAATAGCAACCTGTAAGAAAATGAAATACATGTGGTTATTTTAAAGATTCCTTTCTCCATAAGCAAGAAGCCATGCTGCTATTACTTTACCTCATTGAGAGACAGCTTTCTAAGAGATTCCCATTTCTCAAAAAATTGTATAACCACTCATCTAGTCAAATGATTATCTTCTTCAAACCAGTTTTATCTATTAGCAGCACATAACAGAATGGCTGTCTCTCAACAAATTTCTCATCAGGAAAGAGTGTTCCTCCATGTAATGATTACTTTTATTTTTCCAATGTGAGTACCACAGGTGTTAAGGAAATGAATGAAACATGTCTTTTCACAGACAAGCTGTGTGATGATGCAATTTCCTCCATGGTGATTAGACGTGTGTTCCTTCCCCTCTGAAGCAAAGTAGTGTGAACATTAAACAAACGTTGTGTACATGGAGAAAAAGACAGT